ATTAGCATTCACCTAGCTGAAGATATGGTGGCCTCTGTCAGCTACAGAAAGGCACCAATTCCTGGAAAAGTCAGTGAAGGTTGGATTTGGGGGAGTAAAGAAAGGGTGTTCACATTTATGGAGCATGTGTTTTGTATGAAATAACTTGCACTCCCTACTTCCTGCAACAGTATTTCTTAGTGGATTCATCCTCAGCACAGGGTCTCGTGGGCCCCCAGAAAAGGTGAACTGAACATGTAACAAGAGAAGGGCTCCCTCAAGGAGATGCTTGGTCTTGAAGAAGCATGAGTGGGGGTTATCCAGGACAGAGGTGATGAGGTTGGGGAAGCTTCTATATAAAGGAAAAGGACTGTGCAGAGCACAAAACATTCATGGGGACTGTAAATGCCTTGATGTGGCTGGAGTATTCGATGTGTTTTGGTGGTTGGCAAGCAATGAGTTTGCGGAGGGAGGTAGGGAGTCAGATTCCGATTTGAAGGTTCCCATGTATGTGGCAAGAGTTTCTGATTTAATTCTGATATCAAAGAGGAGCCAAGAAAGGTTTTAAGCAGTGAAATGCCATAACTGATTTTGCTTCTCAGAAAAATGATTTTGGTGGATGAAGAGCTGGAGCAGGGACTCTGGTTAGAGACGATCTCAGTGGTTCCACGAGGAAGGCAGAAGGTGTGAACCAGGACAGCAGCAGTGGACTGGAGAGGGAAGGAGAGATCCCTGCATAGGAGAAGTTATCAGCTTCTTGATCAAAATGATGTAGGGAGGGAGAGAAAGGAATGAGGCTAGGAAAACACCCTTGTTCCTGGCTTGGGCAGCTGGGAGAATGATGGTATCATTCACAGAAATAGGGAAAATAGAAGGAAGAACAGATGTTGTGGGAGAAGATGGTGAGTTTGGTTTTGGATTTGTTGGGCTTGAGATGCACATGGGAAATACAATTATGCTGTTTAGTAGGCAGAATCATGCAACCAAGAGCTTACCAGAGAGCTCCGAGTGAAGCTGGAATCATGGCTATGACTGAGCTTCTCAAAAGAGATACATGTGCAGTGAAGAACGAGTGGCCACGGCCAGGGAGCTGGGGAGCACACACATTTAAATGATGATGATGGAGAGGAGTTCGACATGGAAACCAAGAATGAATGAACCCGGAAGCAGGAGGAGCACCAAAAGAGAGCAAACATTGTGGGGCAAGAGCTTTGTGGCTTATGCTGGCTCAGTGCTCATGAAATGGGTTTCTCCCTTCCTAGATATAGGGAAGCTCCATTTTCCAGCCTCGTTGCACATAGGGAGGGCCAGTGACTGGGGACACCAAATGAATGTGAGAGGAGGTAATGTGTAGTCAAGAACAGATCTATCTCCCTCATGCTCTTTTCCTTCCCATCCATAATACCTTTGGAAGTCACATGTGAAAGAACCTCTAAAAAAAAGCGCTCAGATATTGAGTTTTATTTGTTATCATAGCAGAATCTAGCGTATGGTTCCTAGTCCTGGCTCTGTGGTCAGACATCTGTGTTTGCATTCTGTCTTTACTTCTTGCCAGCTGTGTGACCTTGAATAAACTGCTTAATTCTTAAGTGCCTCAGTTTCCTTATAATAAACATAATACTAACATAATAATAATAAATAACATAATAAAAATATTTTTAACAAAGTGCAATAAATAATAAATAATAATATAGTAATCTAACATTGATTTCATATAATTGAGGATAAAACAAGGTAATAAATGTGAAACACGTAGAACAGTATATTAAATACTCTAGAAGTGTTAGAAGCTAGTGGAGAGGAAAATGTCAAAAATGGGGAGGATGGATGGTCTACGGTCATGCCACCCTGAACAAGCCCGATCCCGTCTGATCTCAGAAGCTAAGCAAGGGGGGGCCTGGTTAGGGGGCATATACAAGAACTAATCTTCTGCCAACCAAAAGAAAGAAAGAAAGAAAGAAAGAAAGAAAGAAAGACAGAAAGAAAGAAAAGAAAAGAAAAGAAAAGAAAAGAAAAGAAATAAGGAAAAAAAGAAAGAAAGAAAGGAAGGAAGGAAGGAAGGAAGGAAGGAAGGAAGGAAGGAAGAAAGGATTGTAAGCTGACAAGGTCCTTGCAATCTGTGAGGTCAACCAAGGGTTGCCTCACCTAAAAAAAAAAAAAAAATTAAAAATGGGGGAATGGTTTACAGTTGGGGTCTGCAAGCTATGGCCTGCAGGTCAAATGCACTCTGCTGCCTGTTTGTGCATGGCCTCCCAGTTAAGAACAGGTTTTACATTTTTAAATAGTTGAAGTAAATTACATGAAAGTTATATGGAATTTAAATTTCCATATCCATAAATAATGCTTTAACAGTACACAGATACACCATACTCATGTGTTTAAGTATTGCCATGGCTGCTTTTGCATTATCACAACAGATTTTGAGTAACTGTAACAGAGACCATATGGCCTATTTGCTACCTGGCTCTTTACAGTTAAAGTTTGGTGAATAAATGCAGCAAACAAGAAAGATAACTAAAAAGTGTTAATAGGAATTGGCAGATTACCTGTGACCTTGATAATGGCTGTATTTGGAGTGGTTTAAGTAGAAACTAGATTTCGGGTGGTAGGCTGATCAAACTTTGATTCCTGACTCTATAGCTTTCTAGCTATGTAGTCTTGGTAAGTCATTTAACTTCTCTGAGCTTCAGTCTGGTTAACTGTAAATTGGGGATCAACAGAGCTACCTTCTTGAATTACTGTAAGGACTAGAAATAATACATGTAAACCATAAAACACAGTGTCTGGCTTATAGTAAAGCGCTCAACAAATTCTAGCTCTTGCTTCACTTATTCTGCTGCCACCGAAGTTGCTGTTCCTTTATAGGTAATATCTTTTTCTTTTAATAATTTATTTTTGTCTTCTGTGTTCTGATGTTTTATATTATATGCCAAGTCATTGCTCAAATCTCACCTCTTTAATGAGGTCATCCTAGTTAATACTGACCATCCTATTTAATACTGTAATCTGTCCACCCCAGCATTCCTCTCTTACCCTAGTCTACTTTTCTTTTTCTCATAGAATTTATTACTTCTGACAATCCAGAAAATTTAGTAATTTATGTTTGTTTACTATCTGTCTTTCCCACTAAGATGTAAGCTCCTTGCTTGTTTTATACAATTATGTTTCGAGTGCCTAAACAGTACCTGGCATATAGTGGGTACTCAATTAGTATTTGTTGAATGACTAAATGAAAAAAAGAATAGATGAGACTTTTTTCTCTCCTGCTCAGGACTAGATATGCTCCTTCTATCTGGGGACTTGTCTTATCTCATCTCTGTAAAATTCTCAACTATTACCTGTTAAAATATAGCTTCTGCTCCATCCCCTCCATTTCCTCCTTCTGGAACTCCTTTTAGAATATGTTGGCCCAATTATTCTATCTTCAGTGTCTCCTAAGTTCGTTCTTATATTTGGCAACTATTTAGCGCTCTGTATTATTCTAAGATAATTTTCTCAGCTCTATCACTAAGTCTCTTTTCAGCTGCTTACTCTGCTATTCAACCTGTTAATTAAATTTTTATTTCAATGACTATTTTTTTTGTGTCTAGAATTTCTATTTCTTCCCTTTTCCTTCCTGTACTTTCCTTTTTTTCCCCTGTACTTATTTCATGGTTTCTTCCCTTTATCTTTTTGAATATGTAAAATATTCCTATCTTAAGATTTTTGTCAGGCTTTTCTTATTTCTAGTTGTTGGCCTTTTGTCTGTTGAATCAGCCAGATTTCTTGTTATGGTTTATTGTTTTGTGCAGCCTGTAATTTTGGATCATGAGCTCATCTTCAATAGCGGTTGTCTGGTATTTGCCTCTGCTGGAGTCTTAAAGGGTTAGCAACCGAAAATCAGGCTCCAAAAATGTATCACTGAATGGCCTGCCTTTGGAAGCTAGGATGGGAGGCAGTATAGTGTGGATGTTAGGGAATGTGTCCTAGTTGACTTCCCCACTGTGAATCACATGTAACTGTGGGCAACTTATTCTTTGCTCAATTTTCTTGTCTATGAAATAGAGATAATAATTCCTATTTCCTAAAGATGTCATGAGAAATTAGTGAGATAATCAAATTAATAAACTTAGCACAATGTTCAGTATGTATTAGTTGCCTAATAAATGCTAAAAATTATAAGTACAAATGAATTACATCATTCTTCAATAACTTCTTGCTGTGTGACATAAGGAAGAACTTAATGCTCATGAAAATAGCTCCAGAATATGTATATGAAATATAGAGCCAGCCATTACATTTGGATAGTGGCCAGATCTATCTGCTTTATTTGTGGAATATATTAGTTGAAGATGGGGGAAAAAAACCCAGAAGAACATGTTCACTTGGCTTTCAGCCATTGCAGAGGAGCACTGATGAGCGGTGGAAGGAAGTTTCAGACATTATCCTTTTAGAAAAATAAAGCCTAATTAGAAAGTTGGATCATTTGCCAACTATTTTGAAACATTAAAGTATAGCAGTAGGGAGAGTTCTTCTGCTGAGAGGAAAATGACCCACAGAAATTTCTTTGCTTTTATTCAAATAGAAAATATATTTAACTCCCCGGTTGCGTTGTCCTTGGCCATCAATCTTTTTTGAAGGTTAGAAATAGAAAAATAGATCCTTGAATCTATAGCCAATGCTTAATAAATACTGTTGGTTTATCATAGGGAAGGGATAGAGACACAGGCAGATTCTTGGGCAAGAGAACCCCAGGAAACCTCATTTCTATCACATGTAACTTTTGACCACAAACCTTTCCTTAAGTAATTGCCATTTTGGATCTGGGGATAAGGGAAAGCTAAAGGACCAAAGTTAATGAATGAAAGCTGTAGGCTATTATGATTTATCATGGGCCATGTGTAACTAGTTATTGGTAAACATTTCACATGATGAATTATAATTCTAATTTTTCATGAAATATTAACAAAGGCTAAATTTAAAAATATTTAAATAGAAGATGTTTTTAAATTTTAGTTACCTAAAAAAAAAATCTTAATTACCTGATCTTCATAATCAGATCCTGTTTCAAGGATCTCTCCAGTGTCCAACATCATCGAAGGATCAAGGTCACTGGAACCTAAGATTAGGAAAGAAAAGATTACCTGACGGAGGATGTTGTTTGTTCTAAAGCAAACCACCTCTCATTAGGTTTCTGCATTGTCCTTATATTACATTAAATCTGCAAACATTTCTAGACTTGTCCCATCTGCCAGACACTGTTTGGCTTGCAGATATTAAATGCAGATACCGTGGACACTGTCTCTACCCTTAAGAAGAAGGCAGTCTTATAAAGGAGATTGATTTGTCAACAGCAAGTCTCAGGAACCAAAAATAAAAGGCTACTAATTTTGACTAGTAGTGAAAGTGATGATGGAGGTGAGATTCTTGACACACAATCAATTTATGAGCCCAAACTGTCAGAGTGAATAGGGGTTTGCCAAGAGGAGAAGCAGTTTAGGGTTGTCCAATAGAAACTGAGGTAGAAGAAACACCATGAGCAAAACAGAGTGGGAGAAGAGCAAGGGGTTCCCAGAAGTAAGAAATGCAAACACTGAGTTTGTTCGACCCATGAAAACCTGACAAGTTTTTCCTCCAGCCAGTGGGCCACTTTAGTCTCTGAAGGTGAAAAAAATCAGGTTAACTTAATGTATTAATAGATAGTTTCCCCCAAATCCCCGCCCAAGTACTACAGGTTACAGTAAATTGCTTACCCAACAATCCCTAAGGCTCAAACTTAAATTGGTAATTTTCATAATGGGCTTCTAGAGAACAACTGATTCATCGTCCTCATGTAATATGTCACCTAACTAGCCAGAAAGACAAAATTCAGTGCTGCCCATAAAACATTATGCACTGTGCGAAGAAATAAACCACTCCACGTTTCATTGTAAACTTGACCTTGCCACTAATTCTTGGTCAGAATATGCAATATTTGACAAAGATGGATTAAAAAAAAGGGTCCAGCATCTCACAGACTTCTCAGATATGGACCTCTACCAGAGATACTACTTTTATACTTTCTTCCAAAAAGAGAATCGAGGTGTGTCCTCACATAGACTATTCTTAACTCTCTTTTTTCTTCTCTTCTCATCACTATCCCTGCTACTTACCAAACTAAATACTAGCCTATTATCAAACTGATTAAGTACTAAGCAGTAACGCCATTGTTTATTGTGTTTGTATCCTTAAAATTTTTTTAAAGTATGATAAAGTTTTTCAAAATGGAGATACTTGACCCAGCAAACCACTTTGGAAAAGTAACTAACTGTAGAGTTGCCATATATAGATGCATAAGTGTGTGTATGCAGCACAATTCTAGGTGATGCCAATTACATCGTCAGAGCAGCCCTGGACAATCCCATTGTTAATAAGGTGCTTGCTAGAATGGAGTTGGGAAGACTATGAACCAGATGCTATTCACAGAGGAGTATATGGAAATTTAAATTTTATATGTAATTTTTTAAAGTAGTGGGATTATAATTTTTCTATCCTTGTGCTTTTGGTATTTTTCAAAATAATTTTTATGAAGTATATCTTGGGGCCAAAATATTTGACTGTCTCAAAGACCAGTTTGAAGATAAATGTGCACTTATGTGTTATAAAGCAGTACAGATGTCAGAAGTAAAATGCACATTTTTTCCATTATAAGATTAAAGCTAATATTTCACAGAATCCCACACCCTTATTTTAGAAAAGAGAAAAATGAACTTGGCCACAGTCATGCAAAAAGTGAGATAAAGATGGAAGTCATAGCTACCATTTCTCCTAACACATTCTGCTGACTCCAAATTCTCAGTGATTTTTTACTCTAGTACTCGATGGGAGAGGACCTGGAGGAGCATGCCATCTCTTATACATTCTGAGAAAATGAGGAATAGTGAATGGTTGATGATGGGGTAGGGCGTCACTGGGTGGCAGTGGAAACGGAAGAATCAGAAGTAGAATCAAGGTGTGTCACTCCAGTCTCTGATAATCAAGGGGCTGCTATTTGAGAGAATGCTTCAAGGACATGCCAATTATATTTAGCTTTCATTACTTCCACAGTATGGATGCTATCTACCGCTGACTAGGGGAAGCGGTGATCAGGTACTCAGATACCCTCACCTGCATGTATCTAGAGTGATTCGTGTGGAATAAGCAATGCGATCTGAACACAAAGGCTTATTAAACACATAGCTGTTTTAGCTTCTGTGTCCTACTTACTTTATTTAATTAGAAACTGTTCTTTTGGTTGTTTTAAAAAAGTACAAGTGAAGGAAGGGCTCTTAAACAACCCAGTTAACAGATATTACACATTAAGATTTGAAACTGCAACAAGATTATTAGAAAACTATTTTCAGCAACGATAGGAGGAAGAGATCTTTGTTAAACAAACAACCAGTGCTTACGAGGAAGAATATATTGGCTTTCTTAATAAAATGCTTTTAACAGAAATTTTATTGTATCATTACGGGATGGAAATTCTTGACACGTTGTTGCCCTTGGCAACAGTATTAATGTATCATAGATGGCAATAGAAAAAGGATGTCATTATCAGCTCAGATAATGATTGAATAGCTTTCATTTTCTTTTGTATTGGTTGCTTGGTTTGCTGAAAATGGGATCTTTAATAATAGCCTAAGGTTTGACAAAAAAAATAGAGAGGTAAATATAGCCATATGTATACATTTTTGCCTTCTTTCGTTGGATAATTTAACGCATAAGACAACTTCGATGATCTTCTTACTCAAAAAAGACAGCAAAATTAGGACATTTTGAAAAAGTGATAGTATGGCTTTCACTTCCCCCAATTTTGAATTTCTTAATTTCTTTTTCAGATTTAAAAACACCTTTTCTATAGGTAACAGAGAAAAATTTGAGCTGAAATAGAACCACACAGGGAGCATTCAGTATTGCCAGTTTTGAATGTAGAATGGTCTTTGGAAATATTATTTTTAGGTTGTCTTTTTAAATTTAAGTGGGAAGATGATATAAATTGGCTTTAGAGGTACCGGAAGGCTAACCATATTGCTTTCTGGTATAATATTATAGACTTTTTTCCTCCTAGTGGATCTCCAATCTGAAGTTTTAGGAAGGTCCTCCTCCCTCTTTGAGTACCAAAATAAAGGGGCACTCCTGCACGGCAGGGATCCTTGGGCAGTGAGGGTGTCTGTAGATGAAACTCTTCTAACACTTCTTCTACCCCTCTGAAGAATATGGTTTCTCCCTTGTCCTGTTTCTTCCACTAAACTGTAAGCAGCTTTGGGTAGGGTTGCGTTTCTTCTCTGAATCTAAGAACAGAACTTGGAATTTCTATGCATTCGATACATATATGTTGAATGACTGGAAAATGAATAAAAGGACGTTTACATTTTACTTTTGCAGATCTTGATCTTCTTCATTCACTCTACAAACATTAAATTCCCCCAAGTGCCTTAGGCATTACCCAGGAGAATACAGCTCTAATTCCAAAAAGCATGGAAAGTATTACTAACAGTTTGCATTAGAATTCCTTTGATGAGCCTTATATATATATATATGTCTGTGTACACATGCACACACGTGTGCACGCACACGCACTACTAACAGTTTGCATTAGAATTCCTTTGATGAGCCCTAGATATATATATGTCTGTGTACACATGCACACGCGTGTGCACGCACACACACACACACATACACACACGCATATAGATATCCTGACAGTATTTGGAATTAGAAAGTGAGCTCCTCAGGGGATCTGGTGTTGGTGGACTATTCTGAGTGAGAAGGGAAGGGGGGGATTTTCCACTTATTCCACAAAGGGAAGGGAGGAAGAGAGAAGGAGAGTAGAAGCAGACCTAGGGAAATGGGGAAGAGTTGTGTTGCATAAGATGTTGTCTCTTCTTGTGACCCCTCGAATCCTTAGCAAAGATACTAACGCAAATATAGTCTTTTCAATGTGACAGCCATATGCTTTACACACATGAATCATTTACTCTTCATAACAATCCTTTGAGGTAGTGCTATTACTATCCCCTATTTATGGATGAGGAAACTGAGACTCGGAGAGATTTGAGTGATGTAGCAGATGGCTCTGCCAGAAGTATTAATGGAGGGCTTCAGGGAGGGGCAGACACTGTAGATGGGACTGAATGGGTGCAGAGGTTTGAGAGGATGGCATTCTGTGGCATGGAAGCAACAAACGCACACTTTGTTCTGGAGCCAAGAAACTTTGGTGCAGCTGTGAGTCAAAATACTCAGATGAGTAGCCCAGCTGAGGTGACCAGCTAGAAAAAAAAGGCCTTAATGTGCCATCTCCTTTAAGAATCACACTGAGTACCTCTCTCTGTCTCTCTGTCTCTGTCTCTCTCTCTGTCTGTCTCTGTCTCTGTCTCTGTCTCTCTCTCCACCCTGTCCTCATGAAGTCTTGTAATAAGGGAAACAGACTTTTAACAATCATATATCTAATTATGTAATCAAAAGTGTGATAAATACCTTGAAGAAAAAAGTCAGGGTCTTACTCAAGGGGCCTAATTTAGTCTGGAATGGGGTCTAAAAAAGCTTCCTGAGAAAAATCACATTTAATCTGAGATACAAAGCAGGATCTGGCCAGGTGAAGAATGAGGCTAGGACTTGGGAGAGTACAGTGATGCAACAATTGGGGCCGGGTAGTTTCAAGTAGCCTGCAAATGGCCAGCGGCATTCAAGGACCTGGAGGATGTTGGGGTGAGTGAGGGGAGGAGGTGAAGTCCTAGAGGGAACAGGACCACTGTAGGACAGCTAAGAATATTTCTGCCATGTTGAGGACACTGGTACTCAGCCTGCAGGGAAGTCATTGAAAGTTTTATTTTGTTTTCTGTCAGGGAGGCAAGGTGATCAGAGCTGCCACATCCCCGTGGCAGCCACAGATTTATGACAGACCAGAGAGGCCAGAGATGAAGTAAAAGATGGCAAAGAATGACACAGCCTTCAATGAGTGCAGTGGTAGAGAACAAAGACTGGACTCCCAAGATGTCTCTGAGAAATGATAATTGGTGTGGGTTGTAAGAGCAGGGACATTTTTGCCTGGCTCTTTTAAAAGAGAAAAACTGCATGATCTCACTTACATATGGAAATCTAAAAAAGTCAAATACGTAGAAGCAGAGTAGAATGGTAGTTACCATGGGCATGCAGGTGGGGGAAGTGGGGAGATGTTAGCCGAAGTCGTACAAAGTTATAGTTACGTAGGATGAATAAGCCTAGAGAGTGAATGGACAGTGTCATGACTATAGTTAAAAATACTGGAATAGTGAATGCTGGAACTTTGCTTAGAGAATATATTTCAGGTGCCACTGATCACACACAGAAAAACGGTAACTGTGAGAAGAGAAGGAATGTTAATTAGCTTGACTGCAGCAATCACTTCACTATGCATATTTATATCAAATCATCACGTTGCACATCTTAGATATATACAATTTTTATTTAAAAAATTTTTAAAGAAGAATTGAAAGCCATTCACATGGGAGCCACAGGGCAGCTGAGATTCTGCAAAGAGAGGGTTCAGAGAGAAGGGAAGAGTAAAGGGACAAAACCAGGGGTCTGACAAGTCACAGACTGATGGACCCCAACAAGACTTATTTAATTGGGTGAGTCATCAACATTTACAAGCCTGGAGAGTTCACCTATGGATGCAGGTTTCAGTTTTCTCTTGGAAGAGAACAGGATCTAGCAACACTGGCCCATTCCTTGATGGCAATAATAGCCTGGAGCTGCATAGTGGCGTTTATTTATAGTTGACCAGTCCCTCCCAGACTCACTTCACTCACCAAGGGCTGTTATAGACAGAACAGGCTTATTTGAAGGCTAGAACAGAACCCGGCTTTCAAGGGTTTAGGAGTGGAAGTGAGCTAGCAGGAGCTAGGGCTGTGAGCACAGAGCCCTCTGTTCATAAGCCTGGAGGTGTGGAGAAGAAAGAGTGGCCCCTTCAAGCCTCCGCTAAGGGCCAGGCACCGTGCACTCTGCCAAGGAGACTTGGAGAGAATGAGGACACAGCACCATTCCTCGGGCAGTTTACCAACTAGAATAGAAGCCAGCACAGCTGCATTATTGCAGGATGAGGCCACCTTTGAAAAGTGCCACTCGAAAGTCACGAAACATCGGCTGTTCTAAAGAAGGGGCAGCTTAAATCAGCTTCTCTACACTACTGTATCAGCAAACTGAAGATATCTGTTGTTAAAGGTCTAAACTGATGTTCTAAATAAAAATATTAACTTAAAAAGCACAAGTTGTCATAGTATTTTCAGAGCAGCAGTAGTCAAGTTTACATGATCCTACATGCTTCTCAGTATTCCATCTTTCTCTGCAATAGGCCTCTTTTTTCTTGTAAATATCATTGGAAAATTAGGCAGGTGAATTTATATCACTGTGCTCTGCGGGTCTGCTCAAAATGACTACCATCTTGCCTTTCTTTGAGGCTGCTTTTAGTGGGATTTAACTATGGTTTAAACTTTTAAGTGCTTAGCCTTTTTCTTTACAGCCCCAAACTTTCTGGCCTTTACCCACTGAGACTACATCTGAGGAAAGAATCAGGAGTGAGTTGAGAATCATCCACATAGAACTGATAGTTGAAACCATGAAAAACGGTGAGTCGACCCACATCGGGGAGTAAGAGAGTGAGAGAAGGGTCCATGGACAGAACTCTGAGAACTGTCTACTTAAGTGGTATGATTGCACTGTATTACTGTCCAATGTCAAACTTCTAGACGCGAGCATATAGGAAGAGAGGGGAGGGAGCCACAGCAGGGGCTGTGAGTCAGGTGGAAGTGACTATCAGATCCAAGGGGAGGATTTTCCCAGGTGGCAAAGGAGAGACCTGTGTGGGTTAGAGTCCTGGAGGAATTATAACTTTGATTTGTTGCACAAAGTATGGGCTAGATTAGATTTTTTTCAATTATTGTAACATAGATCTTATGCTACATTGTGACTATCTGCTAATTTACACCTGTAATGACTGAAAGAAAAGAAGTAACCATAAGGACCAGATGTATAGTCTTTCTTTTCTATTTTGTTTTGTATCTTTATTTTTAAACCAGAAAGTATAAAGCTCTGAGGTCAGTAACAGCCTTAAAACCTTAAAGCGGTCTGTTGAGCTCCAACCTTACTACAAAGTACTTGGCAGGTGACCAGGGCATACTGTTGTCCAAAGCACACAGTGACTTACCTGCTGCAGCCTCTTTGTTCGGAAATAACTTGCTGTCAACTGCCACACTGATGTCATAGAACACCTCATCCTCGTCTCGGTCAGCATCAAACTGGGGAAAATCAGGACAGATAAGTTGGGAACATGAGAATACATAAATTAGTCCATTCCAAAATATAATGAGCATGTTTCACACAACTGTATCTCTAATGAAGCAGGACAATGGGAATTAAAGCCCTCGAGTCTTTAATCAGACACTGAGAGGGTTTTCCAGCCCAGATCTCATATCAAACAGGAGAAGATATTAGGGAGTAAATGCATAGTTGATTATGGTTTAAAAAATGTGTAGAATTTTCTTAATTTACAAAATAAGCTTTGGAAAAAAATGAGAACTGAAATTTACCTTGTGCCTTTCTGGCTCTTGTTTTTTTTAATTAAAAAACTCATGAAATATGTAGTTTTAAACAACACAGGGAAAGATTTTCTAATGTTTTGTTAAAAAGAAGAAAGAAACCCTAAATCAAATTTTAGTTACTATTCTAGATACTATAGATAACTATACTATAGATATAGTCTATAGACACTATTGATTTAGATGTAATAAAAATTACAGATTTAAATATTTATTTTCCCATTCTCTAAATCTTACAAAATCTTAAATATTAAAAAATGTGGTTATATTTATAATTCTCCATTTCCCAAGCTGTGCAATGGTTTTCAAAATATACTTTTATCTCTTAGTTTTAGTTTCTAAAAATAGCTTTACTGAGTTATAATCGATATGCAATAAACTGCACATATTTAAAGTGTACAAATTGATAAGATTTGACATCTGTATACACCTGTGAAAACATCGTAAAAATCAAAATAGTGAACATATTCATCACACCAAAAAAGTTTCATTGTGTCCTTTGGGAATCCCTTCCTCCCAACCCCTCCCAGTAATTTTGCATCTTCTAGAATTTCATATAAAAAGATAAGTACAGCATGCAATCTTTTTTGTCTGGATTATTTCCCTCAGCATAATTATTTTGTGATTCACCAATACTGTATCTATTGTTCACGCCTTTTCATTGCTGAATAACATTCCATTGTATGGATATACCGTGATTTCTCATCCCGAGTATCTTTCAGTGCAGGCACTGTAGTTTTCATCTCTAGATGTTTGAGTCTTTTAAAAATTATCTTTATCCCTATTTAAGGTTTAAACATCTGAAACACAACTATAATAACTTGTAAAATCCTTGGCTAATTCGAACATCTGGTGTCAGTTCTGAATCGGTTTTGATTGGTTTTTCTCCATTATTATGAGCCATATTTTCCTGTTTCTTTGCATGCTTGGTAATTTTTTATTGGATGCCAGGCATTGTCATTCGATCACATTGGATGCTGGGTATTTTTGTATTCCTGTAAATGTTATTGAGCTTTGTCTTGGAATGCAGTTTATTTACTTGGAAACAACTTGATCCTTGTTTTTAAGATTTGCTGGGGTGGACCAGAGCAGTATTTAGTGTGAGGCCAATTATTCCTCGCCATTGAGGCAAGACTCTTTCTTCTAAGTCTTCTACCAAGTGCCTTGTTAATGAAGAGGTTTTCCAATCTGGCTGGTAAAAGTAGGCACTATTCCGAGCCTGGTGTGAGCACAGACTACAGTTCCAGCTAATTCTTTTGGGTGTTTTTCCCTCAGCTTCAGGTACTTTCCTCACATGAATGCACTGATTAGTACTCTTCTGAATATTGGAGGGGAACTCTCTGCAGATCTCCAGAATTCTCTGTGCATCTCTTGCATCTCTGATACTGTTCTCTGAATTCCAGGTACCTTTTGGACTCTGCTCCATCTGCTCGTCGCATGAGGTGCACCAGTCTTCACAAGGCTTCCTTCTACCTGCACTGCAGCCTGGAAGCTCTCCAGCAATAAGGTGGGGGCAATTGTAGGACTCACCAAGCTTGTTTTCTTTCTCTCAGGGGATCACCTCATTGCTTGATGTCCAGTATCTTGAAAATTACTTTAAAAAAATATGTATATATATTTATGTTTTTTGTTCATTTGTTTGATGTGGGAAGGAAAACCCAATCTCTTTTATTCTATCTTGGCTTTTAATCTTAATTATAATCTTGAAGATATTTAAGAAAATTTAAGTGATTTATCCTGTTATATTTTAGTGAGAGAAATTTATTATTATGTTACGTTTTAGTGAGGAAAATTTCAGAAGCCTAAATTAGAAAGTTATTTCCTTACTTGCCCTCATACAGTTCAAACACACCTGTATGGTGCCTCAAAGTGCTTTCTTGATGTCACGTCAGTCCATGGGAATAGTGAGGCAGATAGTTTTTTCTCTTTTACAGGTGAGGAAATATCTATTTAGAAATATTTCGACTTTCTCAAGTCACACAGCTAATAAGCAGGAGAACCTGAACTTGAATTTAGACTGACTGACACTTTCCATCCTGTCAGGCCACATATGCCAACACAGTAAGACAAACAGCCCTTCCACTCAAGTAAGTGTTAACATATCCCTTTTGTCTACAAGCAAGGGACAAAAAGCAGGTGGTGGTGGTGAAGGCAGCTACAAGGAGACCACGAAGGTACAGTTAGTACCATCTTAATGCACTACTTCCCACATCATATACCATGGCTTTTTTTTTTTCTTTCAAAATATCTGTTAGCTATCGTCAGTAAAGAGTAAGAGGGGTTTTGTTTTTATTTTCTAAGAGGGGTTTTGTTTTTATTTTTTTGTTGGACTTTTGAGGAATGGGTGTTATTGAAGCTTTATACCATGGCTGTGTGTGTGTGTGTGTGTGCGCGCGTGTGTGTGTGTGTGCGCGTGTGTGTGTGTGTGTGTGCGCGCGCGTGCGTGCGCACGCGTGCGCAACCCCAGGGCTCTAACTGTGAAGGGTGTGTGCGCGTGTGTGTGTGTGTGTGCGCGCGCGTGCGTAACCCCAGGGCTCTAACTGTGAAGGAAAAAGGGAGCTGAGGCAAAGAAAGAAGAAAAGCAAAATGTAAGGTGGTACGTTATGAGCTGGGCCCCAGCTTCACAAGAAGACACAGCTGGTAGCTTGGTCTCCAGAAAGGCTACACAAACCTATTACATCTCAGAACAGTCTGACAGGGAAGAAAGGAAGCAGCATTTATAAGCTGGCTCTTTCAGGACCAGGAAAACTGGTCCAAGTTTTCCCTAATGAGAAGTAAGTCCTCTCACCATCTCTCGATTGTGTTGCCTGGCCCCTGGAGCGGACACTGGGAAGCCAAACCCCACGCCCCAGGGAGCAGCACAGCATCTGAAGTCAGAAGTGCTGAAAGGAGCCAAAGCCACGTAGGCCTGCTCTGGCTGGGCCTGGGTGCTGTCTGTGCAGAGGCTCCCACCATGGCGGGGAGGATGAAGCCCTGTCCTCAACCCTGAAGAGGCTGGCTCGGGCCGTCAGCAATGGTGGAGGTGCCTTGGCTGGCAGGGCAGAGGTGGGTAGGGGTCTCCATTCAACAGGCAACTGAGGCCTGGGCGCATGGGGCCAAGTGAATCAGGGGAGGCTCAGACAGTTTACAACTCAGCTAAAGCTTGATTTGAATTTCTGTTTCCCTTGGTCGCAGCTGTCTGACCTTGAGCAACTTATTTCTCCCCGTTCTTAGCATCTGTACAGTGCTATGAGGGATTGGTATGAGGACTAAAGAGATGGTATATTTAATACACCAGCACAGAGCTTGGCATGAATTGCAGTCCTTTTTCTTCTCTCCTTGGGACCCTAGGGCTGAGAGAATACATCCTATTAGAGATCTTGGATTGTTTCTGTACTTCGCATCCCCCACCCCCACATACACACGCACACAGCACAAATATACACTTTTTATTTAAATTAGGGATTGTGGAATAAGAAATACAAGAGACTTTAAGACTTTTTAGGAGATATCCCATCCTCCAACTGATCTGAACAAAGATATGTTTAGTTTTAAAACAGACTAAAGTACCTGATTATCCGATCCAAAAGGCAACATACAAATGGTAACGCATCACTGATGAAAGCGTTCAACAAATATTTGCTGAGTAACTACTACGTCCTAAGTAGACTCTTCAGTTGACCACTCCTAAGCTTTTGGACGACGAATGTGAACCCCGAGGAAGGAAGATGGCACCCACATAGGCAGCTCAACCCCGGGATCATGAAGATGCATCTGAAGCCCATTTACTCCCACATCAGGACAGAATTTAACCCAGATTTCCTTATTTCTGTAATATCCCACTTCCACGACTCCAGGACTAGCATGGGACTCTCGTTTCCAGTCTTTTAGCAAATAATGTGGCATATAGACCTTGGAGAGTATTCTGATTGGGCACTATCAGAACAACTGCCACTTAATTGAAAAAATTTTTACAAAATGGTAGCACTCAGTGTCAGAAAGGTTGTGTGTATGGTGAGTGGAGAACTGGCTTTTAGATCATCAAGCATTTTACTTATTATTTGTTTTTGCACAAACCATACTCATCAATGCTTCTCAACCATGAGTAAGTTTGTCTACCCCCTCTCCCCCCACTGCAACATTTAGCAATGTTAGGAGACACTTTTGGTTGTCACAACTAGTGGGAGGGAGGCTACTAGCCAAAGACACTGCTAAATATCCTACAGTGTCCAGCACAGGCCCCCTCACAATAAAGAATTATCCAGTCTCAAATGTCAGCAGTGTGAAAGTTGAGAAACTCTTACCTACGCCAAGGCATTTGCAGCTTTTGGGTTTCTAAATAGTGTTTTAAAAGTCAAGTAGCAATGATTTAAAAAAAAAAAATTTTAAAGGTTTTGAGCTGCCAAAACCTATCCTGTTAACTTCAAAATACAAAGGATAGCAGAAGTGATAATGCTGCACGGGTAGCATAGGTAGAAGATGATGAAGGTTTTAGAAATAAAAGTTTATTTACATCTCATAGGTCAGAATCAAGCTTCAGGGGGCAGATATTAATTGTGTGCCAATAGACCAGATGATGTCTGAGGTTGCTCCCAGCTCTGACATTCTGTGATTAGATGGCACTTTATCTTTTCACTGATTGTTATTTAATGTCTAGTAATCTTAACAAAAACTCTTTTTCCATTCTGAGCAAAAGAACTCACAGAGGCCACGGTTTGCAT